GCTCTTGTTACCCAGACTGGAGTGCAATGGCGCGATCTCGGCTCACCGCAACCTCCGCCTCCTGGGTTCAGGCAATTCTCCTGCCTCAGCCTCCTGAGTAGCTGGGATTACAGGCACGTGCCACCATGCCCAGCTAATTTTTTGTAGTTTTAGTAGAGACGGGGTTTCACCATGTTGACCAGGATGGTCTCGATCTCTTGACCTCGTGATCCACCCGCCTCGGCCTCCCAAAGTGCTGGGATTACAGGCTTGAGCCACCGTGCCCGGCCAAAATTTTTAAAATAAAAATAATAATACAAAAATCAACCAAGTGTGGTGGCGTGCACCTGGACAGAGCAAGAGCCTGTCTCAAAAAAAAAAAAAAGAAAGTGAGGTACAGCACTGTGGCTACATGCTGCCTCATTTCTTCTCTAATACGTAAATTCTAGTATCTAAGAACAGAGATTACTTTTTCACAAAAATAATAAACAATAACTAACAAACCTGTTTTAAACCTGGAACTTAAGTAGAAATGTAATACTGTAATATAAAATCATACCAAAGTGCTAATTCAGTGAGTCCTTAGGCATTTTAAGATGCTATATAAGATTCTGTGTATGATATTAAAAAGTTTTTAAATGATGTTAGTCTTTGAAGATCTTATGGCTGAGAAAATAAAGGGGATGATTAAAAATAAAAAGTTGAGGGGCCGGGCGTGGTGGCTCACGCCTGTAATCCCAGCACTTTGGGAGGCCGAGGCGGGTGGATCACGAGGTCAAGAGATCGAGACCATCCTGGTCAACATGGTGAAACCCCGTCTCTACTAAAAATACAAAAAATTAGCTGGGCATGGTGGCGCGTGCCTGTAATCCCAGCTACTCAGGAGGCTGAGGCAGGAGAATTGCCTGAACCTAGGAGGCGGAGGCTGCGGTGAGCCGAGATCGCGCCATTGCACTCCAGCCTGGGTAACAAGAGTGAAACTCTGTCTCAAAAAATAAATAAATAAAAAATAAAAAGTTGAGGTGATGCGCGGTGGCTCACACCTGCAATCCCAGCACTTTGGGAGGCCAAGGCGGGTGGATCACGAGGTCAGGAGATCAAGACATCCTGGCTAACACACTGAAACCCTGTCTCTACAAAAACTATAAAAAATTAGCTGGGGGTGTGACATGTACCTGTGGTCCCAGCTACTCAGGAGGCTGAGGCAGGAGAATTACTTGAACCCGGAAGGCAGAGGTTGCAGTGAGCCAAGATCGCACCACTGCACTCTAGCCTGGGCAACACAGCAAGACTCCATCTCTAAATTAAAAAATAAATAAATAAAAATAAAATGTTAAGTAATATATCAAGTATTAAATTACAATATGGCCAGGCACAGTGACTCATGTCTGTAATCCCAGCACTTTGGGAGGCTGAAGTGGGCAGATCACTTGAGGTCAGGAGTTTGAGACCAGCCTGGCCAGCATGGTGAAACCCCATCTCTACTAAAAATACAAAAATTAGCCAGTCATGGTGGCATGCATCTGTAATCCCAGCTACTCAGGAGGCTGAGGCACGAGAATAGCCTGAACCTGGTAGGCAGAGGTTGCAGTGAGCTAAGATCCCACCGCTGCACTTCAGCCTGGGTGACAGAGTGAAACTGTCTCAAAAAAAAAAAAAAAAAAAAAAAAAAAAAGGATTAAATTACAATAATACAAAAACAAACAAAAGTTACAACAAAACTGAACAATATAAGCAATATGACAAATGAAGAAGCAATATATTAATTCAAAAGAGAGTAAGGCCAGGTGAAGTGGCTCACACCTGTAATCCCAGCACTTTGAGTGGCTGAGGAAGGCAATCACTTGAGGCCAGGAGTTCACGACTGGCCTGGCCAACATGAAGAAACCCCATCTCCACTAAAAATACAAAAATTAGCCAGGCATGATGGTGCGCCCCTGTAAGTCCCAGCTACTTGGGAGGCTGAGGCAGAAGAATCACTTAGCCCGGGAGGTGGAGGCTGCAGTGAGCCAAGATTGCACCACTGTACTCAGCCGGTGACAGTGAGAGTAAAACCAAAGGGACTAGATTTGTCAAAGAAGGCTTCATAGATAATAATAGCTTTTTATATGAGTACTCAGTATAAAAGAGAACAACTGTGACTGATATTGAGAATGTGATAAGTACCAAGTATTTTCTTCCTTAAAATTTGGGCTGGGCGCAGTGGCTCACACCTGTAATCCCAACACTGTGGGAGACTGAGCGGGGCAGACCACGAGGTCAGGAGATCAAGCAGAGACCTGTCTCTACTAAAAAAATACAAAAAATTAGCCGGGCATGGTGGTGCGCTGCTGTAGTCCAAACTACTTGGGAGGCTGAAGCAGAAGAATCACTTGAGCTCGGGAGGTGGAGGTTGCAGTGGGCCGAGATGGCACCACTGCACTCCTGCTGGGGGGACAGAGCAAGACTCCATCTCAAAAAAAAAAAAAAAAATCACAATGGGTGGTAAAGGCAGTTATTAATAGATCTTTCACTTACAGTAATGGTGAACTAGATGACTGGACCAATTCTCCCTCACAAAAAAAAGCCAACATAAAAAGCTGAAAGAAATGAAAAAAAATTTAATTGCATAAAATCCTAAAAAGAAAGAGAAAACAGGGAGAATAAGATAAACTATATATTCTGTCTGAAGGCATTTGCTGACTGTGGAAAGATAGCTGAGAGGTAGAGTGGCACTTCTTGTAGGGAGGAGAAGGTGGGCTCACTGCAAATCTGCTGGAAGTACTGAGAAGCAAGCTGGCGGACTAACAGAGCTGAACAAATGGGAATGGAAATTCCATATCTGCCAAAGGAGGAAACACACACTTTGGAAGTAAGGTTACAAATTCTATTCCAAGACCACTTAGGTAAACCAAAAAAATTCTGAAACCTTGGTTCTACACTGTTAGCTCCCTCAGGTAATGAAATTTCTCTCTACAATCAACAAAAGCAACAGACAATAGCAACAACCAATGACTTCAGATATTAACTGAAAGACCAAGATACAATTTTTATTTTTGAGACGTAGTCTTGCTCTGTCACCAAGGCTAGAGTGCAGTGGCACGATCTTGGCTCACTGCAACCTCCGCCTCCCAGGTTGAAGCAATTCTCCTGCCTCAGCCTTCTGAGTAACTAGGATTACAGGCGTACTCCACCACGCCCAGCTAATTTTTCTTTTTTTTTTTTTTTTTTTTTTTTTGCATTTTTATAGAGATGGGGGTTTGCCATATTGACTAGGCTGGTCTTGAACTCCTGACCTCATGATCTGCCCACCTTGGCCTCCCAAAGTGCTGGGACTACAGGTGTGAGCCACCGTGCCCTGCCCCAAAATACGATTATGTTTACTATGTTCACGGAGATAAAGACAAGCTTTAAAGTTTCAGCAACAAACTGGGAGCCATAAAAAGTATCACTGGAAAAAAAAACACCAGAATTTACAGAGCTAAAAAATACTATAACCAAACTTAGAAACTCAATGGAGTACTTAACAGCAGATCAGACACAGCTGAAGAAGTGATAAACTAAAATGTAGGTCTGAAGAACTAATCCAGAATAAAGCACTCAATTGGAGAAGATAGAGTAAGAGACCTAGAGGTTACAGTGAGTGGGCCTGACAGGGATGTCACTGGAGCCTAGAAGAGAAACAGAATGGGGCAGAGCCAACATTTGAAGAGATAAAGGCCAGGCACAGTAGCTCACACCTGTAATCCCAACACTTTTGTAGGCTGAGGCAGGAGAATCCCTTGAGCCCAGGAGTTTGAGACCTGCCTGGGCAACACAGGGAGACCCCATTTCTACCAAAAAAAAAAAAAAAAAAAAGTTTTTAAATTAGCCAGGCACGGTGTCATGTGCCTATAGTCCCAGCTACTCAGGGGGTTAACGCGAGAAGATTGCTTGAGCCAATCATGTTAAGTCTGCAGTGAGCAGTGATTCCTCTACTGCACTCAAGCCAGGACAACAGGGCAAGATCTTGTCTCTAAAATAAAGGGATATAGCTGAAGACATCTTAGGACTGATGAAACAATTTAATCAACTGATTCAGGAAACCCAGTGAAGCTTAACCAGGATAATGTGACAGAGTACATACAAAAAATGGCCACAATAATTTCACTCCCAGTACACATGTCCCTTTACAAGAGGACTCTGTAGCTCTTCATATCAAAAGGTAGAGTTTATTTCCCTAGCCCTTGAATCTGGGGTTCTGAACCTGGGGTCCAGTTCTGAACCTGGACCTCAAGAGGCCTTGTATGTATTTGTCTTTTGGAATCCTGCTGTTGTCATATGAACAGGCCCAGGGTAACTTACTGGCTAATGAGATATGTAACCCAGTCAAATATATTGTCCCAGCCAACAAGCCAGCCAATCTACAGAAGCAGAGCTGCCTACCTGGCCTGGCCGGCAGCTACCTACAGACCCATGTAGGAGCCCATGTGGAACCAAGACCATGTGGAGTAGAAAAGAACCATACAGCTGGTCCTAATCCAAACTACCAACCTACAGAATTATGAGCTAAATAAATGACTCTTGTTTTAAGCCCTAAGTTTTGGGGTTTATTTCACAGCGAATGGTAACTGACATAGAGAAGTAAAAACAAATCCACAGATATACCATAATGAAGCTGCACAAAATTAAAGACAAAATCTTAAAAACAGGTAAATGCTAATATAATTTTTTGAAGAGATAAACCATTGGATGAGGTTGATCTTTAAAACATTCCAAGTATTTCAACTTAGTAACAGTAGGAAGACAGGCATTCTAGACAAAAACAGTAGGAAGATGGACATTCTACGCTATCTGAAATGTGGCCAATTTTTTTTGGTGAAAATAACATAAGGCCAGAAAGGTAGACGTGTTTGTTTAGAGTTAAGGGCTCGTAGGCAAGCAGACATGGGCTGTTTTCTAGGTTCACCATTAGCTGTGTGACCTCAGAGCAAGGTAATTCAACTCAGTATTTTGGGGGGGTTTTTTGTTTTAGTTTTTTTGTTGTTGTTGTTTTGTTTTGTTTTGTTTTTTGAGACAGAATCTCGCTCTGTCACCAGGCTGGAGTGCAGTGCAGTCAGCTCACTGCAACCTCCGTCTCCCAAGTTCAAGCAATTCTCCTGCCACAGCCTCCTGAGTAGCTGGGATTACAGGCATGCGCCACCATGCTTGGCTAAGTTTGTATTTTTTTTAGTAGGGACAGGGTATCTCCATGTTGGTCAGGCTGATCTCAAACTCCCAACCTCAGGTGATCCGCCCACCTGGGCCTTCCAAAGTGCTGGGATTACAGGCATGAGCCATCCTGCCCAGACGCTTTTCTCTTATTATAATGTAAATATTATCACCCACTCCTACTTGTTAAGGATTTTTAAATGTAAGTAATATGGTTCGAACAGTCAAACTCTAGATGTTATCAACTTTTACTCTAGAGATGAAAACCACTAAAACTACTGCTTGGGACAACAAATTGAGAATCAGAATATGAGTTATCGGATTCTCTATCCTCAAAGACCCCTTCCAATATAGTCTTTCCTCCGTTGTGACTCTCCTGTTCTAAAGCTTTATGTGACACAACAAACACAATGCATAATAGGAACAAAAACAGCCAATAAAATGGGTGAAAATGCTTTTTCTCTGGCTGATTTCTTACATAAACTTTAGACAGCTGTGTTACTTCATAGTTATGGAAAAGTACTTCCAATTGAGTTTTTAACAAGAAAAACAAGCATAGTCTGGTAGGTTTAAAATGAGCATTTTAGAGTAAATGAACCTAGGTTCAAATACAAGTTCTGCCCCTTTCTAGCTATTCATTAATTCAACCACATCTATTGAACAACTATTGTTATAGATATCCCAATTGCTGGGAACACACAGTATCAATGTTTTAGAAACCAATATACTCCATTATTCTTTAATATGGAATCCTTTGCTACTCAGCTTCTAAAGAAAACCAAAAACCTTCATTAAAAGTACATCTAAGAAGAAATAAAGTTTAAAAAAAAAACACTAATACATACGTTTCAAGGGTATTTCTCTTAAAACACATAGCTGGTAGAACTGATGTTGTTACAAGGATAAATATCCTGATACATTCTTGCCCAGATAGGAACTGCAGGCAAGGCCAAGACTTTTCTCAAAAAGCAGCTCTGAAGAAGTTACTGGCTAACAGTGCACTGGCTATCAGTTATCAAGCACATTATTTCACTTAATCTTCACAATAACACCATATGATAGACTGCTACAGAAATGGCCTCCAATGAATCCGTCTCCTTCTGTCCAGGCTCCTTTGCAATGTAACTTTGCCACTAAAGAGGTAATAGTAGGCTCCATTTCCCCTCCCCTTGAATCTGGGCTGGCTTTCTGATTTACTTTGACCAGTACTAGAGAAATGACGTGAGACTTCCTAGGCTATCCTTAAGAGGTCTTGCGATTTTCCAATTTTCACTCATAGCCACATAAGAGAGCCCAAGCTAAACTACTGAATAGAAAGACTATATGCAGAGAGAGAGAGAGATCCAGTCAAAAGCAAGATATACATGTGAGTCCAGCCCCAGGTGAGGTGCCAGCTTACTATATCTGCATGAATGAGCCCAGCAAAGCTGCCCAGTCCATCCACAGAATCCTGAGAAATCATAGTTGTTTTACACTGGTAAGTTTTTGGTTTTTACAAAGCAATAGATAACTGAAGCACCCTATAAGTACTACTGTTATCTCCAATTCAGACCTGAAGAAGTAAATACTTAAGTTTCAGAATTCTGCAAATACTTGAAAAGCTCTATTTCTTCTGGTAACTAATGGACTTATTTTTCTTTTACAAAATAAAAAGTAAAGGAAGCATGGGAAAAAATATTAGCTGGTTTTACTTTCACCCATATTTATAAAATTACAAGCAAAAAGGATTGGGCCATGAAGACATATTTAACTTATTTCCAACCCATACAACAAGTGAATATGTATTATACTGACAGCTTAATAATAGTAACAACAACAATCTTATGGTACTTTCTATACGTCAGGTGCTGTTCTAGGTGACATTAAGTGTGGTAAGTATATATGCATACACATACTCATCTTATCCTCAGATAATCTCAGACAAGAATAAGTCCTATTATTAGCTTCATTTTCCTGAGTGGGAAAATGCAGCATAAATCAGTTAAGCCCAAAATATACAGCTGAATTTTCCACTGATAAAAGCAGGTGACATTCACCACTAGAGAAAAGGCAGCCCAGCCTACTTAAAACAGTCATAATTTCAACGACCAGGTTAGAGCAAGTGTATCCCATTAATATAGATCAAAGTTATTTCAGCTCTGAGGATGTAGCTATTAAGATCAACTTGAGAGACATACTTTATTTACTTATTTATTTCTTTATTTATGGAGATGGAGTCTCACTATGTTGCCCAGGCTGGTCTGAAACTCCTGGCTTCAAATGATCCTCCCACCTCAGCCTCTCAAAGTGCTGGGATTACAGGCGTGAGCCACCGCATCCGGTCTAAAGAGGCATACTTTTAAACAGAAAGCAGGTTCGTTACAAAAGAGCAGTGCTGTGACATCTACAAAGAGAAAAGGAACAATATACATCTACCTACCTATGCTTAATTAACACCGTTGAACAACTGCTTGCAGAACAGGCACATGTCACACATTTTAACTTGGAGTGGACCTAAGCATTCTATATAAATTTCGACAAAATTCAGATTCCTGCAAACGTCACTACTCTAGACATCCTGACCCACGATATGAGTACATTCCGACTATGTGCCTTCAGAGTTGCTGGCGGAGAAAATACCCGAAACACAAGAACCCACAGAAGATGGTCTGAGCGGTCTGGACGACGTGACAGCGGTCATACCTCCTCAGCCTCCGCCAGCCCCAAGAAGCCATCTCCCCGAAAAACGCAGCATCAAGGCCCCAGAATATAAATTTTTCTGAATCAAAAAAGGAGGAGGAAGGTCCAAAGAGAGACCAGATTCGGTGTGAGGCCGGCCAGCGATGGTAAGGGCTATCAGGGAAGGCTAAGACCAGGGTAGCAGTCGTCTCTCAGACCGCTCTTCCAAAATCCTAAGGGACCAGAAGGATTCTATCAAGAACTGAACAAGCTGACAGTCATCCCAAGTCTACGGCCTCGAGCTTTCTGCTTCTCCCAACATTTGCTTCCCTAGCCGATCTCAGGCCCGCCCCCTTCGTCGTCAGGCCGGCTCCTAGCTTCATGCCCGAGAGCCGTGGTCAACCTAAAGAGATTAAGGCTGTGGCTTTCTTTCCCCACCTCTGTACTCTCATGCTCCTGGGAAATACTCACTTGCCCGCCAGATCTTTATGAGAGCCGCTCGAATTCATGAGCTGGGCCAAATCCTGCCGCACGGCTGCCGCCATCTTTCTCCCAGCTCAGCGGTGGATGCGGGGCCTCTGGCAGGCAAAAAGAAAGCGAGTGTGGTCCTCCAGAGTTCAGCCAGAGGGAGCCTGAGATGCTACAGAGTAGCGTCTGTGTGGGCCAGAGCGCCGGGTGTGGGAGCCTGAACTAGCTCCGCCCCCAGGGTTGAGTGACGCGGAACTCCACTCCTCAGGTCTGAGGGCCGCCCAGGCAGCTCCTACAGGCTCTGGCGCTCACGCTCGGACTTTGGATTGGCTGATGAACTCCAGGAGTGAGTCACTGGTGTAACTCCAGTAAGTACCCGGTACATAAAACGACTGCATTTTCGCAAAGTTCCGTGTCTGATGCCTGTGGTTTACCGTCCCTCGGTCTTTCAGGCATCGCTTAAACTGGCTGTGGTAAAGAACGAGTTTTGTTTCCAATTAGCCACAGACGATACTTTTTAGAAATACAATTAAAAAGTCCCAGGCCGGGCGCGGTGGCTCAAGCCTGTAATCCCAGCACTTTGGGAGGCCGAGGCGGGTGGATCACGAGATCAAGAGATCGAGACCATCCTGGTCAACATGGTGAAACCCCGTCTCTACTAAAAATACAAAAAATTAGCTGGGCATGGTGGTGTGTGCCTGTAATCCCAGCTACTCAGGAGGCTGAGGCAGGAGAATTGCCTGAACCCAGGAGGCGGAGGTTGCGGTGAGCCGAGATCGCGCCATTGCACTCCAGCCTGGGTAACAAGAGCGAGACTCCGTCTCAAAAAAAAAAAAAAAAAAAAAAAAGTCCCCATTCCTCTTCCCACTCCGTGCACTTTATAATGGTTGATCAGATATTCCAGTTTGTCCAGTACAAGGCCATTTTCCCTCTGTTGTCCTGGAGTAATGATTAATAATATCCCCCTTTCATTCTAGAAACCGCTCAATTTCAATGGAAGATTATATGCTCGTCTGCGTTTATACGTTATTACATTCAATACTCATGTATCCTTGTAGAATTTCTGCAAATACAAATATTAATAAATGCAATATTTTTTTTGAGATGTAGTCTCACCCTGTCACCCAGGCTGGAGTGCAGGGCGCGATCTCGGCTCACCGCAACCTCCGCCTCCCGGGTTCAAGCTATTGTCCTGCCTCAGCCTCCTGAGTAGCTGGATTACAGGCCCGCGCCACCACGCCCGGGTAATTTTTGTATTTTTCGTAGAGACGATGTTTCATCATGTTGGTCAGGCTGGTCTCGAACCCCTGACCTTGTGATCCCCCGCGTCGGCCTCCCAAAGTTCTGGGATTGTAATCCACGCCTGGCCAATAAATGTGAATTTTTACCTCTGCTTTCTTTCACAAAAGTAACACACCATATGATTGTTCTACCTTTGTTTGTTTACTTTTGCACTTTTCCTGGTACTATGGTTTGAAATATTTGTCTTCTCCAAAACTCATGTTGACGGCCAAGCGCAGTGGCTTACACCTATAATCCCAGCACTTTGGGAAGCTGAGGCTGGTGGATCACCTGAGGTCAGGAGTTCAAGATCAACCTGGCCAGCATGGTGAAACCCTGCCTCTACCAAAAATATAAAAATTAAGCCTGGGTGTGGTGACTCATGCCTGTAATCCCAGAACTTTGGGAGCTGAAGCGGGCAGATCACGAGGTCAAGAGATTGAGACCATCCTGGCTAACATGTTGAAACCCCGTCTCTACTAAAAATACAAAAATTAGCTGGGTGTGGTGGTGCGCACCTGTAGTCCCAGCTACTCAGGAGACTGAGGCAGAACAATTGCTTGAACCTGGGAGGCAGAGGTTGCAGTGAGCTGAGATCGCACCCTGCACTCCAACCTGGGCAACAAAGGAATCTCCATCTCAAAAAAAAAAAAAAAAAAAAAAAAGTAGCTGGGCTTAGTGGCCAGGGCCTGTAATCGCAGCTACTTGGGAGGCTGAGGCAGGAGAATCACTTGAACCTGGGAGGTGAAGGTTGCAGTGAGCTGAGATAGTGCCATTGCACTTCCAGCCTGGCTACAAGAGCAAAACTCTGTCTCAAAAAAGAAAACAAACAAAACTCATGTTGAAACGTAATCCTTAATGTGGCAGTATTGAGAGGTGGTTAAATAGGTGATTGGATCATGAGGGTAGAACCCTGAAGAGTTGATCCATTCATGAATTAATGGATTCATGGGTTATCACAGGAGAGAACATGTGACTTTATGAGAAGAGCAAGAGACCTGAACTAGCATGTTCGGAAGGTGATTCCCTTGCCATGTGACATCCTGTGCTGCCTCTGAACTCTAGCAAGTCTCCACCAGCAAGAAGGGTCTCACTAGATGTGGCCTCTTGACCTTAGACTTCTTGGCCTTCATAACTATAAGAAATCAATTCCTTACCTTTATAAATTACCCAGTTTCAGGTATTCTAGTATAAGCAACAGAAAACAGACTAAGACAGCTGGACATCTTACCATATAAATCCAGTCTTTCAAAGTCACTCTTTTTAGAGCTAGAGAATATTCCATAGTGAGGGTATGCCTTAGTTTATTTAATCCTTATAGGACACAAGTTATTTTTAATTAATTAATTGATCAATGCTGTGATGAATAACCTTTACATACATCATCTTATGTATGTACAGGTAGAAAACATTACCAGAAATGAGGCAAAGGATAGACATATGATTTTGGTAGATATTGCCAAATTGCACTTTATAGGAATGGTATCGTTTTTCCTTTCTACCAGAAATATATAGGGGTGCAGTTTCCTACAGCCTTGCCTACAAAGGATGTCAAACTTTTGGATTTTTGCCATCTTGATGTGTGATAAATGGCATGTTCCCTGTATTGGGAAAGAGAAAGAAAAGAGTACCTGAAGAAGGAATCTCTTTTAAGAATGTATATTAAGGGCCGGGCGCGGTGGCTCAAGCCTGTAATCCCAGCACTTTGGGAGGCCGAGGCGGGTGGATCACGAGGTCAAGAGTTCGAGACCATCCTGGTCAACATGGTGAAACCCCGTCTCTACTAAAAATACAAAAAAAAAATTAGCTGGGCATGGTGGCGTGTGCCTGTAATCCCAGCGACTCAGGAGGCTGAGGCAGGAGAATTGCCTGAACCCGGGAGGCGGAGGTTGCGGTGAGCCGAGATCGCGCCATTGCACTCCAGCCTGGGTAACAAGAGTGAAACTC